CTGTAGCCTCAGAAGGCGACATGTTGCATGCATTTGTAAATGGGCAACCATCAGGTATGACATGATTATATCAAAATTAAAATAAAAGTTGTTTGAAGAAAATACCCTCATACAACATATGAAACTATTTGAAGACAAAAAAAGATTGCTAAGGGGGGAGTTTTTTTATTTAAAATGATAATCGAAAGGGTGTCTTTGTGTTTAGTGCTCTCTGTACCGCACGGTGTCGATTTACTGCAATCATGAAAATCCCTACTAATTAATTATGCTTAATTTAGTAATAAAATACTTAGAGAGTGTACATTCATGTCTTGGATGGACATATGCAAATGAATAAAGCAGTACTTTTAAAAGTAGCGGAAATTTAATTTGATATATATAAAAAAATGGAAATTTTGTTATATTGCAGGATCAGCTTTTGGGAGTATAGACAACAGGAACTTCAGTTTCACAAAATCCGTCAACTTGCACGCTGGAAAGAATAGCATTGCACTACTCAGTGTAGTTGTTGGATTGTCGGTTAGTGTTGTTTTACCTCATCATTTGTTAGCAACTCATGTTAGATTAACATACATATGTGGCACGATCTAACTATATACATCACATCATCTTTATAATCAATTAGTAATTTGGGTGCACGAATTATAATAACTTCAAGGGCTATGGACATCTTTTTGAAAAATATCGCTATGGAGTAGCTGGGCCTGTAGTCTTGCAAGGGCTAGACCATGGACAGATGGACTTGTCCAGGAAAAAATGGTCTTACAAGGTTCGCGGTGGCAGCATTAATTATGCCTTTTCTTTTTTGTTCATACTTGTTTCTGTTTTTTTCTTATTACTTTAATTTCTTTTCCTCCATTTTTCAGGTTGGGCTTAAAGGAGAAACAATGAACTTAGCATCCCCAACTGATGCTTCATCTTCTATCGATTGGTTAAAAGGGTCTTTAGCCGCACAAAACCGAGGGCCACTTACTTGGTACAAGGTACCAATAATATTAATTAGATTCTTATTAAAATTAGCTCACACTTTGCAAAATGCAGTTTCAATTCTTGCTTCTCACGTTTCCAATTTTTCGCGCTTAATTAAATTTGATGCAGGCAAATTTCACCACACCAGCAGGAGATACGCCATTGGCATTGGACCTCGGTAGCATGGGAAAAGGTGAAGCGTGGGTGAATGGTGAGAGCATCGGCAGATATTGGACGAATTATGCAAAAGGCGAATGCAAAAGTAATTGCAGTTATGCTGGGATGTTTGGGCCGCATAAGTGCCCAAGTGGCTGTGGCCAACCAACTCAAAGATGGTAAGATTCAATAAATTTTATTAAGGTAGCAATTAATAAAAATAAGACTTCATTTAATGAAAAAAATCTTTATGAACAACATTCAAAATGATAGTTAACCAAGCAAAACCTTATTATTACCAACTTTTTTACTTTTTAACAGGTTTACAAAATTTTAAATTTTTCTGAATTTACAATATTAAATAATTTTAGAGCTAATATTCCTATTTTGTATTATAGTTATACCATAACGATTTAAAAAAAAAACTGATTTATATGAAAATTAAGTAATTTATATTATATATTATACATATACATAATAGTCAAAATTTTAAAATGTAATATACACTTTATCCAATTTAAATTTTTAAATATCATATAATACTAGTATATATAATCATCAAAGGATCCCTACACAAAAAAAAAAATAAAAATTAAAAAATAAAAAAAAAATAAAAAAAATAAAAAATAAAATTGCTATCCTTAATTAATGATAGGAAATTAGTAATTTTGAATTGTGTAAGTATGTGATATTTGTAATTCCCTCCATCATGATCCATGT